GAAATGGAACTGAGTTTGCAATTTTCCAGAATCCAGCAGAGGGGCCTTTCACTTCTTTTCACAACGTCCAAAACTCTGCTTTGCTCTCATCTGTCACAAACACAAAGCTGCCTAAAAAAAGCAATCTATTGGATCGAATAAAGTCCTAAAGACGACAGTGAAAAATAAATAAATAAAAATTATTGTTACCTAGGATAAAAAAAATTACAAGAAAGAAACAGTAAAGTGGGAAAAAGTAGCAGAATCCATAATGGAAGCCAGACCAGACACAGACGATGATGTTTTTGTAAGTACAAAAACGATGGGGTTTTAAGCGGTCTTCTTTCTTTTACCTACACACCATTGGGAAATGGTCTTGCGTACTCGGTTTCGTTGTTTCTCTGTCTTTTCTTGTTTTCTTTTAATTTTTCTTCTCTTTCTACCCAAAGTGGAACAAACTTGAGCAGAGTATAAACTCAGGTTTCTTCTGAAACTCAAACTATTCTCTTTCACCCTGGAAACTTGCAGAGTCTTTTAACAAATCCTGGGGGATTCTTCATTGTATTTCCTTTCTATATTGTTTTTAACCAATGCTCCCAAGTTCCAACCTTTTCCCCATGTTTGGTCTCTAAGCAACCCAAGAAAACAAAAGGAAATCTTGCTTAAAGAAAAAGAGAATCTCAATTCAGCTAAAAAGAATTGTTTTTCCCCTTAAATTAAATGAGTTTGATGATGATAGTCGCTGCAGGAGATTCTCAAGCTCTTTAAAAAAACTAGAAAAATAAATAAGCTGTTTTGGCTCGACTTACAGCTTTGAATGATTAAAAAATGGCCGAGTCAAGCAAAGTGAGGTTGGTTAGGTGTCCAAAGTGTGAAAACCTTCTTCCGGAGCTTGCTGATTATTCGGTTTACCAGTGTGGTGGTTGTGGCGCCGTTCTTCGAGGTACCCTTGCTTTCTGTTATCTCTTTCTTTTTCCTAGTTGTTTTGTTTCTTTATTGGAATATTGTTGGGGAGACACGATTTTGGATCTTTGATCGATGTTAACCTTGTTGAAAATTAATCCAATTGGTTGAATCGAAGGGTTAGGTGTAGTTAAGGTATGGGTCATGTATGTTGTTTTTTTTTACTATGAAATCTTATTTGAATCGAATTGTTAGTTAGTCCTTTGCATTTATCAACTACGGGCAAGGTGCATTCCGGGAAAACTCGATGGTGGGTGGTGTTTTTTTCATTTTCTTGATGATTAAGGCTACCGTTTTCCTAAGAAAATGAAAGAACTGAGAGGACTTAAGCCTTCATTATATTAGAAAATTGGAATTGGTATGGTCATAGCAGAACTCTTTGGATTAGTTTTAGTTGCAATAAAAATAATGAAACCACTCGAGTCTTTGATTTTAGTTTATTGTTGTTTGCTGAACCTTTTTCTCCTAGTTTTAATAGTGGAATGTTGTTTGCTTAACAGCGAAAATCAGGAATCGTGATGCCGATACTTTCTCTGACAAGTCTGAAGAAGACAGGCTTGGTAGAGTTTCTAACATATCGCAAACTTCCTCAGAAAAGGGAGTAGTAGACTTGAGTGGTGCTTCTGATGCAGATGTTATATCGGGTGCTGATTTTCTGATGTCTGATCGAAGGGATCCAGAGAATAATAATGTTGAGTGCTCTGATAGAAGTATGAATGAAATTAAGGTTGCCGCTGATAAATGGTCTGTTGAAAGTGCAAATGATATTAGGAGGAACAAGGATGAAATAGTGAGTTCCACTGGAAGAGAACAGGCAGTGGATTCCGATTTCAGATATACTGGTGGATCACAAAAAGTGGGACAGATGTCTGGTTGGCAAACTGGGAAGCGAGAAGAGATGGAGCAGATTCGAATAGTTCCAAGACCTGTTGTCGAAGGTGTGCGATTTTCTACCTCGAGACATCCAGATGAAGGCCCATCAAACCATAATTTGGATTCTTCTTATGGTTATAGTGAATCATTGCAGAATCGAACTGACTTGGATGGTTCTGGTAGAATTCGCCTTGAACAAGGTCGAGCTGAGCTTTTGAGGAAGCTAGATGAGCTGAAGGAGCAACTTAGTCGGTCTTGTGATGTGGTTGATAAACCAAAAGAGAAGGTTCTGCTTGATGGGAAGGTTGTTCCTCCAGAGTCTTACGGTGGCGCTGATAGCTGGTTACCAAATGGTTCTTCTGGATTGCGGAAGCCCTCGATGCCTTTCAATGGACCTGATAAACGTGCTGCAGAAGCAGGACCCTCTTATTTTAGCTATTTCCCAGAACCATTTACTTATCCTGTTGAACATGATATGACTCGGCACGGGATGCATCATCCGATGCATAATCAGAATCACATTCCTGCATATGGAGATCCTTTTGGATCCAAAATGCTTGGAAGAGGCCCACTCCAGTTCCCTGGAGAATACCATCAGCCACATCATCCATACTTTTCCGGACAGTATGTCGAAAGTAATCATGACCAATTTATGCCATATCCACGAAGTTCAGTGTTGCACCAGGCTTCTAGTTCTTGCATTCATTGTTACGAGAAACATCAGCGAGTTCCAGCACCTATTCATTCCGGTTCATTTGGCAATAAAAGGTTCCATGCTGTGCCTGGTAACCCATTGTACCATATTGACAACCCTGGGTCTTTTGGTTCGCGTTTCCGTAGTTCTAGGACTACAATTGCCCCATCGAATGTTCATGGTACACAAGCTTATGCTAAATGGCCCAGTGATATTAACTCGGAAATGGATGGTTTTGTTCATTGCCGTCCCCGGAAGGTAGTGCTAGCCTGTGGTGGGCGCCATATTCGTCCTATAGCTGGTGGTGCTCCATTTATAACATGTTATAATTGCTTTGAATTGCTACAAGTGCCCAAGAAAGTGCAGCTCATGGTAAACAATGAGCATAAATTGCGGTGTGGAGCCTGTTCAACTGTGATTAAGTTTACTGTCATCAACAAGAAGATCGTTCTCCGTGATAATGCAGAAACAAAGGGAATTTCTGTTGATGTTGATGATAATTCTAATGGTCATGTCAACCGAGTAGCTACTAACTTCTCTTCTGATGACTATGATCAATCAGGTTATGATTTTCAGCCAATGGACAGAGAACCTGTGGCAATGTCAACTGGCCAAGCTTTGAACTCAGTAAGATCGCAGGAAATGCAAAGCTTCCATTCTTCATCTCCAAGCACCTCCGAGGATGAAAACAGTCCAGATGTTTTAATTGCTTCAAGAGAGGAAGTAACTTCTGTTCCGCAGCCAACCAAATCCACTTTGTCTCCACAACCTGCAGGGTCGCCTCTTCAAGAGCACTTTGATTACTCTTCTACCAATAATGTAGCCAACCGATTTGGGAAGGGAAATAGTAGTAGCCGCTCTGATCAAGAGAAAGTTGTGTCAAACAAGAGTACGACACGACAAAATTCTTTAAAAGAGGCATTGCCTACTGAGATGGAGGTGTCATTCAATGAGTACTCTAATACTGGGATTTCTCAAGATTCAGGGGATGCAACTAGAGAAGATGATCAACCAAAGATGGCAAAAGGAGGTGAATCGTTTTTTGCAAATATCATCAAGAAGAGTTTTAAGGATTTCTCAAGATTTAATCAAACCGAGCAATGTGCGAAAAGTAATATTTCAGTTAATGGTCACCCTATTCCTGAACGTGTGGTTAAAAAGCAGAAAAGATGACTGGAACAATTCTTCCTGGACAGTATTGGTAAGCATTTGTTGATATTCTTCCTGATATGTGCTTATGACTTTTGCTTGTTTCTTTGTATGTCTGTTGTATAGAGATGCATGTAATTTATAGTGTATTTAATAACTGACATTCTTGTTTTGTGCATGCCTAAATCAGGTATGATTTCCGAGCTGGATTTTGGGGTGTTCTCGGCGGGCCTTGTCTCGGCATAGTTCCTGTAAGATTGATTAATCTTTATCTTGATACTAACGGTTTAGAATTTTGTTGTTCTTTGGTTTTTTTCAAAATATGTGTCATAAGAAAACCAAATTTCTATTGCAGCCTTTTATCGAAGAACTTAGTTATCCGATGCCCGAAAATTGTTCTGGTGGGACCACCGGCGTTTTTGTAAACGGGAGAGAGCTCCATCTGAAAGATTTAGATTTGCTTGCTAGTAGAGGGCTTCCAACTGACAGAGATCGCTCTTACATCATTGAGATATCGGGCAGAGTTCTGGATGAGGACACCGGTGAAGAGCTAGATAGCCTTGGCAAACTTGCCCCAACGTGAGTACATAAATCCAACATTCCTTTCCATTAATTATTGTAAGAATAGTACAGAATTCGCATTGATGGTACTAAAGTCTACCTGTCATGAATACCGAGTGTTAGTACATCATCCCGCTTGCTTAATTGTCTGTCCATTATAACTTTGAACTCGTGGTTCCAATTATAGATGACTGTTAAATTTTCTATATCTCAAGATGGGATTTCTTTGCTAGGATACTTATCCTGATGCATTTTTTGACCCGATTTTGAGCAGAGTCGAGAAAGCAAAGTGTGGTTTTGGCATGAAAGCTCGGAGAGCAGCTGCATAATGAATTTGTAATGGTCACGGCCTAAAGAGCCGTCACGAGAATCGGTTAAAACTTGGTATGGTCCGAAATCTGATTGAATGTTTTTCTCTACCAACCCTGGGTTTGTTGACTTTGGATTGTTTCTTAAGCCCTTGATAAATAGTGATTAAGTTTCTGATATATTTGATATTTTCGCTGTTTCTTTTAGTAGTATAGATTCTAAATTTATTGCATTCTTTATGCTGCAATTTGTATATGTAAATTTTGTTTCCTCCTGCCATTTTATTTTACCGAATGAGATTTGACGGATTAAACCCAAAAAATGAAAATGTCGATTCATGATACCAACATCTAACTGTTTTTATTAGGGATGATCATAAGCATCTATTTTCGTAATTAGAATCACTGTTTCATGAGACATAACTAAAGCACAATGCAAGATATACAAACCAAATCCATGAACACATAAAAAGAGGGAAAGATACAGAACCAAGAGGCAGATCCTGCTTTTATCATGCCGATTTGCAAAGTTGTTTGCCTGGTGCAACCTTAAGCGATGTTCTGAAACTCAATGCACAAGTGTTTTTAAAGACAGGGTAGCCGAATTGTTATTGAGAAACAGAAAAGAGCACGACAATCAGATTCAATATTATTCAACAAGTAACTCCTAAGCATTTGCAAGTTCAAGAGATCAAATACCAACAAGCGACAGTCGATTTCCGTCTACTTGCTCGCTGGCGGCGAATCATTCTTCTTCTTTGGTTTAAGATACGGATCCTGTCAATACTCCCCATACATAAACTCCAATAAGTTTCGATTTCGATATAATCCGCATGAAAACACTTGGACAAAACAATGAGGAAAAAACATCATATGCTCATTCAAAGAGACCGTTTTCAAATTTCAACCATGTTTTCATTTTATTGATTACATTGCATCCTCTCCATTTTAAGTTTTCATTCGTTTCAACTATAAATCAAAATTCAAATACAGAAGAAACCTATAGTTCAATATAATGAAGCAAATTGGAATAGTGGATCTCTTGATTCTCTACAACCTATAAAAAAATAATTTATATCTTTATGTACCTAAAACTACGATGTTCCATCTATTTCAAATTAAATACAAAAAAATAAAATAAATAAACTAGCAAGATATTAAGCAAGTTGACCCTCCTAATTATATATTTTCTACTGCCACAATCAGCAGTTATTCCCATAGATCAAAATTTGAGACTTTATGTTTGGAAGAAAAAAAAAATTCCTAAAAGCAAATAACGGTATTCCTAATCTACGATTTTATATGTGCAAAAATAGGTTTAAAACTGGGAAAGGAAAGGGCAAAAGAAATTACGTCAACAAAGAGGAGGTGGGCTGCAACGGTGGCTCCCACGACGCCGCCGATAATGAAGACTGGACCGGTTAGCAAACTCCATGTCCTGTATATCATTTTTGCTCTCTTTTTTACGCTCCGATAAGTTTCAGCACTTTTTTTTCTTGAGAACTCCAGAATTCCAACAATTCACAAGTTTGAGGAACTCGGGTGCATTTAAAGAAAGAGAACAGGCCAGTTGGAGGAAGTTCTTGCTTGGCCCAAATTTATTTATGGGCCACATTTCAGTGGCCTTTTAACTGTTTTTTCCAATAAAAGCAACAACTCCAAAAATAAGCAGACTTGATTGATACGTTTATTAATGGGATAAAGCTTTTATTTGGTCCTTGAATTTGACCATTTTGAACACGTTCGTCTTTCAGTTTTTTTTTAACTCATTAGTCTCTGAATTTGTATTATGTGGCACAAGTTAGTCCTTCCTCTTAACACCATTAGTTTATAATTTTTTGTCCACTTAATCCCTAAATTTGCATATTTTGTCTTAGTTCCTCAATTTTATATATATATATATATATTGAAAATAACAATTTATAATGAATTTAGAAGATAATAAAAGGAATTCAAGGAGCGGTCATAGTGTTAAAGGGTTGTTCTTCATAGGTGATCTAGGTTCGAGTAGTTTTGTCCTCAGGTGGACATGAATTTAGCCATATTTAAAATTGAATACAAATACTATCTTGTAATTATATTAGAATCTTCAGATGATGTCGAATCTCGAAAGCGTCTATCAACTAGATCTTAATTTAGTAATCATCTTTAAGCATACTTCAATAGAATGTTTACATAATTATGCTCTAAATTAAATTTGGTAATCATGTATGCAGATGAAGGCATTGTAATCTTGGGTAGATATGGAAAGGCAACACTCGTCTCCTGTTTCGATGACTTAAGAATGTTTGCGTTCTGTTATTTGCAAAGTGCTTCTAGAAGAAGGAGAAAAGGCCCACAAATAATTTTCAGCGCTTCATTTTAATTTGTCTCTCCAAATAATTTAAAAGATTATTGTGGAAACAAATAGATAAATTTAGGAATTAATGTAGACAAAACAAATGATTAACTTGAGTTTTCAATGATTAATGTGATAAAAAAACTTAGGGACCATGTGAGAAAAATAGTCAAATTTAAGGACCAAATCAAACTTTATCCTTTTATAAATTAAAAAAAAAAGTTAAGGTCTTGGGTTGAGGTATTCAAAATTTTGATATCTAAACATCAAATTATAATATGCAAAAATAATTTAATATCGTACGTCAATTTTTTTAATTTAATTTTTTACTTTAATTTAAATCTCACCGTATTTTAGTTCACAAAGGGCGCGTATTTTAGTTCACAAAACAACAAAGAACCTTCGAGCTTTTTGCCAGTAGGGTTTGTGGCCAGAGCCCAAGGAAAGGGTCTAGTGGTGCTATCTTGGGCTCCACAAATAGAGATTTTAGGCCATCGTTCAACTTGTGGTTTCTTAACCCATTGTGGGTGGAATTCGGTTCTTGAGAGCATTGCCGACGGTGTACCGACGATAGCCTGGCCACTATTTGCAGAGCAAAGAACGAATGCGGTTCTTTTGAGTGAAGGCATAAACGTGGCACTGAGACCAAAAGTTAACCAAAACGGTGTGGTGGAACGAGAAGAAATAGCAAAGGTCATAAAGTGTTTGATGAAGGGAGAAGAAGGGATGATAATTCGTGAAAGATCGAGCAAGCTCAAGTACGCTGCTGCCAAGGCTTTGAGTGAAGATGGGTCGTCTACGAATGCACTGTCCCAGTTAGTGTTCAAATGGAAGGAATAGAAGAGCATATGAAGCCAAAGTTGTTTTCGGATCCATATTTTTCTTTTAATGATTTGCAATATTGTGTGAACAGTAGTTTGATGGGACAAAAAGATAAGCGAATCGCAAGTAATCTGCCAGCCTCTTTGTTTCTCAATGAATATGCGTGAGGATTCTAATTTTGTGGTTCAAGAAATTCAACCTCTCCAATCTCAACTTCTCAATCCAGTTTACAGTCCAAAAGTCTTTGTTATTGGTAAAATGATAAAATTGCTAGCACTTTGTTTATGAAATTATTATCAATCAAAAGATTGGTAAAATTCTTCAACTCACCTAGCCAATCCTCTAGAACCAACCCTACATAATTCTCCCATAACCGCCTTACTTATTGTTAGCATGACTCTTCCAAGACTCATGCCACCTCAAATTCAACCAGGCATTATATGCAACTCTCTCGAATATTGTTTGCGACAGTTCTTTTCTTCCATGTATATCACTTATCTTGGTAACCTATATCCGAGAGCGAGCAATCATTCAGGATTCTCTCGTTATGAACCAAGCCGCCCTGCTGTTCAAAAGAACATAGAATCTCATTAAAGTTCCCAATCGCCAACCATGGCATGCTGGGTGAATCATCCAATTGAGGCAATAGAAATCTCGTCTACAATGTTATTCTGGGGCTCCATAATAAATTAGTGTACACCTCCAGCATTTTTTCATCAGGATCACTATTGATTATAACATCAATTTGCATAGAAGAAAAACAGCATAATGATGCATCACTGCTTGTACGCCACGCCAAACATACACTTCCACTTCTACCTTGCGAACTAACATTTATGCCATAAAAGATATTTCTCGAAACCAAAGTTCTTCCGTCCTCCTCGTCCCTAAGCCATGGACTCGACGGTGTCATTCGTCTCCTCAACGGCAAAAAGATAGAGGCATCCCATGTAAGATGTTTCTCCTGCAATATTCGTAGAGGACAGAATCCATCCCATGTCTCAATTTACCATATAAAAAATAGAATAATTTCAACATTTTATATAACTATCGTTGGATAAAGCAAGTCTTAACATTTTAAATAAAAATAATTATACTTAAAGGGGCTCTTTCTGATTTGCTAGATAAATACCTACTAAAAGTAGACTTTTATTCATTTGGGATGACTGTTGTATTTTCTGTAAGAGGGAGTTGGAAACTATAGACCCTTTATATTTTTATTGTGATTTTTCAAAGCACGTTTGGATGAATTTGTCGCGTGCTTATTTTATTAATATATACACGTATATAGAGAGAATAACAAATATTCTTTGGGCTCTTGGGAAAATGGTGGGTATTGACTACTGACCATCATTTTATTGTTCCAATATTAATTGATTGTCATCTCCATTATTGACCGTAAAAAATAGAAGAATCAAAGTTGATAGAACATCACGATCACACGTGCGTCATACTTCCTGTTCCTCAAATCATAACAAAGAAGAGTCCAAAATGTTTTTTAAGGTTCAAATATGATAGTAAAATGAATAAAAAAATGATTGAACGTTCTTTCCTTTGATTTTTCAAATCATTATACTTTTCAGCTACCTTTTGTAGTCAATTAATTATTAATTTAAATAGGGTTCATTCGAACTAGCAACATCAGTGATTGGTCGTCAATTTTATCGGCAATAATCGAGTCTAATAATTGCTTGCATCATCTTTTCATCACCGTACCGTCATAGTATGCTACTGAATCGACTTAACATTAATCATTTTAAATTATCCAAAAAGTAAATTATTTAATGCTTTGGAAAACGTTAATAATGATTGAAATAACAGTCGATTTAGGGGAGGGGTAAAGCTGAACAATCTACTTTAGGGGGCAAACTTTTAAGGGGGGCTAAGACCAGCTCCATTTGTTCTTAATTTAAACGTTCGAAAGGTTATTAATAATTTAGGTCTTATAATACAATAAAAGTTGCGGTGCAACATGTTTTAAGAGCAAGATAGCCTGTCATACAAATTTCACCATAAATTTTAATGTTGGGTCCGAGGAGTTTAAAATAATTGACAAATCAAGTATTCATGTTCAAATTTTGATTTCCTATAAAAAAAATAAACATAACAGTAGAATTTTTTTTTGTTAATTTTAATTTAAAAAAGATAAATATTTTTAGAAAAATAAAAAATTGTACATGTAATGCCTTTTTTTAACTAGGAAGCTGAAACCAATAAATAATTGGGGTTAAAAAGCTTCAGTTTTTTAGCAAAACAAGTGGGAAATGGAACTAAAAAACATAAAATAAATGAGAGAAAAAGGTATTGTATATAACATAAGCCTTACGTTTGAACTGACATCACCAGGTCCACACACTCCGTAAACAAACAAACAAATCCCCATCCGCAATACCGAAACAGATCCACAATCTTCCCTGTATACTTCTACAAATTCAATTCTACCACCAAAAACAAACAAACGAAGCCACAAACGACATCCTCTATATAAACCATATCTTTCTTCTCCATTTCTTCCGTACCAACGTATAACAAGGAAAAAAAGTATACTTTGTTTTCATTTTCATTGCCATGGCGAAAACGCAAACCCCCCATATAGCCATTCTGCCGAGTCCTGGGATGGGTCACCTTATTCCACTCGTTGAGTTCGCTAAGCGATTTGTCAACCAACACGTCTTCACTGCCACCTTTGTTATCCCCACCGCTGATTCTCCGACTAAAGCTCAAAAATCAGCTCTCGATTCCCTTCCGAGCTCTATAGATTACGTTTTTCTTCCTCCTGTTGATTTGAGTGACCTCCCTCAAGACGCCAAAATAGAAACGGTGATTTCTTCAACGGTGGCTCGGTCTCTGTCTTTCCTTCGGGATACTTTCAAATCATTGGTTGCAAAGACGAAACTTGTCGCCATGGTGGTTGATCTTTTCGGGACAGACGCATTTGATGTTGCTAAAGAATTTAACCTCTCGCCGTACGTATTTTACCCGTCAACAGCCATGGCTTTGTCTCTGTTTCTTCACCTAATGAAGCTTGACTCGATGGTTTCGTGCGAGTACGGGGACCTGCCGGAAGTGAGAATTCCGGGGTGCATACCGATTAACGGCAACGAATTGTTGGACCCGGTTCAAGACAGGAAAAACGATGCTTATAAATGGGTTCTTCATCATGCAAAGAGGTATAGATTAGCCGATGGAATTATGGTGAACAGTTTCCTGGACATGGAAGGAGGAGCTTTAAAGGTTTTACAAGAGAACGAACCCGGTAAGCCTCCGGTTTACCCGGTTGGCCCACTTGTTACCGTTGATCTGAGTAATAAAGCCGATGGGTCGGATTGTTTGAAGTGGCTAGATGATCAGCCACATGGTTCGGTTTTGTATGTCTCGTTCGGAAGCGGAGGGACCCTGTCTTCGGACCAGCTAAACGAGTTGGCCATGGGGTTGGAAATGAGTGAGGAACGATTTTTGTGGGTTATAAGAAGTCCAAATGATAAGGTTTCAAACGCTGCATTTTTCAGTGCGGAGAGCCAGAAGGACCCTTTCAATTTTCTACCAAAAGGGTTCCTCGAGAGGACCAAAGGCAGGGGTCTAGTGGTGCCATCGTGGGCACCACAGGCTCAGGTGCTTAGCCATGGCTCGACCGGAGGGTTCTTGACGCATTGCGGATGGAATTCTACTCTGGAAAGCGTTGCTTTTGGGGTGCCTCTAATCGCATGGCCACTCTACGCCGAACAAAAAATGAACGCCGCGATGCTAACCGAAGATACTCGAGTCGCACTGAGATTGAAACCCGATGACACTGGCTTAATTTGCCGAGACGACATCGCGAAGACCGTGAAGGGTCTAATGGAAGGCGAAGAAGGGAAAGACGTTCGAAATAGAATGAAGGACCTAAAAGAAGCTGCTGCAAAGGCACTCTCCCAAAATGGCTCTTCCACCAACGCACTCTCTCAGGTCGCTACTAAGTGGAGGAATCACACTCCCCTCTAAACGCAACGTTTCTTAACTTCTGCCTTTAAATTGGTGCAACTTCAACTTTTTAATGTACTAAATAAAATTGTTTTCCATTCTATTTGTAAATGATCATGGCCATCTGTTTGTAACAACAGCTTAGCATATATGTTTAAATATCAGAATTTCTTGGGAGTTTTATGATATAAAGCTGTTTCATCTCTTTCTAAATTTTCCTTATCTTATAAGTTGGTGGTATTGTTGGGTCAATCTTATAACCATAAACAAAATTGATAAAGAAATCAAACAATGTTGAATCTTTGATTTTATATGTATAATCATATTAAACAATTAAGGATAAATATATATATATATATATATATATATATATATATAAATTTGGGATAATCATTTTATAATAGTAGTACCGTACAATTACTATTTAATGTAGGTTTCATGTAACAATCTCCCACCTTAACCTAATGAGCTCAAAGTTTAGTATAATAAGTGAATTATACTTCAAATAAGTTCGTTCATTGAATCTTTCGTCACATATATCATAGTTAAACTTTCTCTGATTAAGTATACCAATATAACCAAATGACATAGATTAAGTATGAATGTGTAGCATGAAAATTGTATGCAACATGATCATTGTCGAAATGATCCTTAAACTCGACTATTTCAACTAATTAAAAAAAGTATAAATATTCAGATTTATTCAAAATTTTGGTTTAAAAATAATATTAGGAGTCACTATTGATCACTTGAGGCTAAGTATAATTCAACACCTATAGAATCATATTTTTATTTTTATTTTTGAAAACCTCTTACCTATGATGATAAGAACACGCACTTCTTTGGACTAATGTTACAACTCAAACCTATTAGAACAACAAAGTTTCGAAGATTCAAGGCATATTATAACGTGAGTGAATCCTTAAAAGTTTTTTACTTTTCTCCCTTTGATGTTTCAGGTTCGAGGTCAAATCTTTTGAAGAGAGGGAGGATGATACATGCACCACACGCCTCACAACAAAGGAAGATGGATTGACTCTTCCAATTGATCCATGCGTCCAAGCCTTGGAAAAGAAGACCAAAACAATAGCAGACTTGCAATGACTTTTTGAATGGGATCCATGTGTTTTTGGTTAGCATATTTTCTGGAGATACGACCGTCTGTCTCTTAACTTTCCAACGGAACTTGAATCGCATCAATATGATGTCGGGAAATGAAGATACATCTATTTTAACTAAGATAACGCATGCAGAATTCTTATACTGCATTAATATGAGATTTTATTAATTTTACAAATTTGCAATATTTTTATTGATTATTTATAATATAATTTAATATATGATGCATTATCTTTTAGGATTAGATTTATTATTTTAGGAGTTAAGATCGAGTCAAACATTATCTTATCTTTAGTTTATTATTATTTTATTTATTAAACTACTTAGAACTTTGGAACTCCTCACCCATATAAAGAAGGTTCCATTCACTATTGTAAAACACACTTTTCTTGAATAATAATACAATGTGAGTGCGTTTTTGTAAGTGTTGACAGTCTTGTGCCTTTGAAGTTATCTTCATCATAAAGTTCTTCAAGATCTTCATGAGGGAGAGCTTCACTCTCTGATTTCCCTGTCCATTACGGTTAGGAGGGCTGGTAAGAGTCGATTATAAAGTTTGCCTAGTCAATTACGATTAGGAGGGTTCTTACGACATCAATCTATCGTTCATCATCATCATCATCATCACCACGCCACCTCCACCATCAAAAACCCTAATTCACACCAACTTTATACATACCAGAGAGAAATTTCAATTCAGTTCCTATATTTATTATTTGTTTCTCTATTTGTCCTTTTATTATCTTTGTTATTCGTTATTATTTATACTCATAAATACTTCTTCTTGATTGAGTTTTTAGCAACTTCAAATCAAGAACCCTAATTTTGGGCACAAACTCTATTCTTGTTCCCATTGTGTTCTTCATCGAGTCTAGATCTCTAGGCTTGAATTCTTCAACTACGAGTAACATTCATTAATTTGCTACCATCTCCTATCAGTTGGTTTTATGTAGGAAAAGGTTAGCATCCCATAATGCCAAAACTTAGTACATAATCAATTATGTGGTTTTGATATTGAGATCTACAAATTCAAATTTACTTTAAAATATGATTCTTTCATGAATGCAATTTATTTAAATAGAGTTAACTTCTATTAAAAAATATCGATGGACTCTTTTTTAAAATGAATTTGTTAACGCAATTTTTCTTTTAAAATTCTTTCCAAGTTGGTCCTCTTTTAAATCAAAATGAATTAGTAATAATTAATAATTTAATAATAATTTTAAATATTAGGAATTTATTCAATTATTTTAAATTAGGACTAATTTGATTCTCTTCCCTCAAACTAACTTGATATATAGTTCAAAGATATAAGTGAGGCTGCAATTACAGGATGAAGAGTACTGTGGAGTCATCCATTGCATGCATTTATTACATCATGGCCAATTAAACATCCATGTAGATAAATAGGATGCAATTAAAGAAAGTCTGATGGTTTGCATTTACCGCAATATATATCTCAGATTAATTGCATCCTATTTATCTCCATGGATCGGTCATGATGTAATAAATTCAATCCCTGTAACTTCAATGTAAAAAGTTAATTGCAAGAGCTTTATCTTGATATATAGCTCAATATCAATAACATCTGCTGATTAAAGAAAACCAATGTCAAAAGTTTACATAAATTCAATCAACATTCTTGTTTTGCTCCTTTCAATATTGTTTCATTTGGATGCTAACTAAATCATCTGATCTTGATCTTGAGGTGGAAATTATATAAAATTGTTTCCTTGTTGAGTTGTTATGTGTTGGGTTTGATCTGGATTGGGAGTGTGGGTTTTGGAGGAAAATCGATAGAGCTTCATATTTTTTTCCTTCTTTCTTGGGTGGTATTTTGTTCTTCATATTATTATCATGGCAAATTGAGGAAGATGAAGATTTCCTGCCATTGAAATTGTCATCCCAGTTGTAGTGATTGCTGCGGTTGGATTCTTTTTTGTTTCCGATTATAGAAGACGTGTTTTTGAAATTGAGTGTGTCGTAACCAGTTTTCGCCCGGGCATAAATGTTTACTTGGCGGGAAAAATAATGTGGATAAAAATGATTTTGATTAAAAAAATGTTTTGAGAGTCGCCATCAACCTTTTTGGGTTAGGTAGGTCGAATACCTAAAAATCATCTTTTAAAAGAGTTTTTAAGAAAACATCAGTTAAAAGATAAACTGGTCTGTCTTTAACCAAAAATTCATTCTTTTTATGAAATAAAAAGAGATTCGTGGTCGGTTACGTTTGGGGAATGATTAACACCTCCACAACGCCCAAAATTGATACTTATTAATTATAAATTGTCTCTATTATTAGAAATTTAAAAATTCAAAGATATATTTAATTTATAATCTTGTTATTTCAAATTTATTACTATAATTTTAAGAAAATCTATTAATTTATATATATATATATATAAATAATATATTTATTTATTTAGAAATATCAGAAAATGACTTCCAGATGCTTTAAGACAGCTCTTTTCTAAATATTAAAAAATAAATAAATATTAATAAAACATTTATCTAAAAATAATTAAAAAAATAGATTAATATATATATTTTATAAAAGTAGGATATTTATTAAATATATCAGAAAATGGACATCCAGTTATTTTAAGACCGCCCTTTCTTAATATTAAAAGATAAATAAATATTATTATTTAATCAATATATATATATATATATGATTAAAATAAAAATAAAAATAAAATAAAGAATAATAATTACAGTACTAAATTAAAAATATTGAAACTAAAGAGGTAATAATAAAATATAAAATAAAATAGTGATCAAAATAAAGAAAATTAAAATTATAGGATTACAATATAAAATATCAAAACTCATGGTTCTAATTCGAAATATTAAGAAATATAGGTAATATAAAAGTGTAATTTACTCTAATTATTATTCATGATAAAAATAGTAGGGACTAAATATGGTATTTACCCTAAATATATATATAAATATAACATGTACTAATATAATAAAATTCAAATACTAAATTCTAAAAAACAATTTATTAATACACTAGACATAGGTATCTTTCTTGAAGATTTTTTCAAGTCAAAAGTGGGATCATGGATTGTTTATTTCTAATATGCATTTCACGTGCATATAGTAACAAAATTGTATTAATTTAATTCTATACCCTACATACATATTTTATAAATTTATTAATCAAATTATTGATAATCATGCTACCATTAAGTTAATATGATACTTACCTGTCATCACGAAAAAAAAAAGTAAAGTTTCATAAAAAAAGTTATTAAATCATATCTTAGTCATATTTTAACCTAAAATATATGCATAAATAATTAAAAATAATAATATAAATGCCAAATTAAAATAAATAAAAACATGCTTTTAAGGATTAAATTGTAAAATATTAAAGTTAATAGAAATATCTCGAAATATTATATAATATATGTAATAATAGTGTAATTTATCTTTAATTATTAACTGGTAATTAAAATAAAAATTACTAAAATATAAGGGACTAACTAATATATTTACCCTAAATATTATATAAAACTGATAGAGACTAAAATAAAATAAACTAAAAATATGAAGACAAAATTAAAAGACTTACAAAATCAATTTAGTGACCAAATTGCAAAAGAATATAAATTCGGAGGGATCACAGACGTGATTTGCATATTTACGAAATTATACAGAAGTTCCTCCCCAAAACGACGTAGTTTTGTGGAGGGTATAAATAGACCTTAAATAACCTAAAATTCCCAAAATTCCTAATTTCTTCATTTTGCTTCTCTCTAAAGAGAGAGAATCTCTCACTTCTCTCTAAACTTAACCACCGGTCGGCCACCGTCGGTCACTATTCCGACCACCGCTGATCATTATTTCAGCCACCGATCACTATTCATGGTGGCCGAAAAATATAAAAATACCCCCAAATCGTAGATCGAAACATCCTAAAGCCGAATATGGAATCCGTTTTTCCTAAAAACTCCTAGAATTCTCTAGATCTAAATTTATACCTTCGATATTTTGGTTTTCCGATGACCGTGGTAAGCTCTCTCCTTCTTTTTCCTTTCGGTTTTTTTACTGCTGGTGGTAGATTGGTTCTCTTGCTTCCTTCCTCTCTTTTTTTTTGCATGTAAATCGAGTCCTTTTATAGGGCTCGTTGAGGTTCTTCTCGGTGGATCTATCATAGGAGGGTCCTTGGTGAGTTATCAGATTGCGATGTGTGCGGCTCTCCTTGAGTCTTCTAGAGGCTTTGGTGGCGTGGATGTCATGGCAGCAGCTGGTTGGGGAACATAACGGCGGAGTGGTTGAATAGAGGCGACGGAGCAGTTGGAAGGGTGAGGCGCCGCCCAAATTATCACCCTAGGGTTGGTGAACTCTGGGGTTTCTGCCAGATCCAACGGATGAGATTGATGGCGGTTGGAGATAGGGATGAAACCCTAACTGCATCTGGATCGGGTCTGTTGGGCTTCCTTTGTAATTTGGGCTCCGAGTTATTGTATTTGGCCTGATTTGTAATAAAATTATTTATTAAATAATAATATTATAATAATAATATTAATAAAAAAATGAGTCAAAAACTTAGTGTTTAAAGAGTGGAACCGCCTTTCCTTTGGTTAACGAGGAAATGATAAGATCTCCATTGACATATGCATCTATTGGACTTGGAAAACGAAATGCATGAACCAAAGTGACGAGGGCTTAGGAATGCAGATTAGTTCGACATTCAGTTTGAAATCGTGACTCGAGCCAAGAACAAAAGCACTAATTCTCCATAATAACCAAACTGGATATTATCCTTACCAACTCTTTGTTAAAACTGAACATTTGGGCAGTATATTATTTTATTCCTTATACTTTCAATTACAGCAAATAGGTCCTTATATACACAATAGCTTCTTATAACTAACTCAACAACAGAAATCTAACAAACTCAACAAACTAACAGATTACATAACTGTATTGCAACAGTTAATACTTTCTACACTCCCCCTCAAGTTGGTGGTTGCAAAGATGTCTTTAAACCCCAACTTGGAAACTAGATATTCATGTTGATGCACACCCAAGGCTTTTGTCATCAAATCTGCTTGTTGCTCCCCTGTCTTGACATGTTTAGTTTGTATCAAGCCTTCTTGAATCTTCTCTCTGACAAAATGACAGTCTATCTCAATGTGTTTGGTTCTCTCATGGAAAACTGGATTAGCTGCTATTTGCAAAGCTGCTTTATTATCACACATTAATTGTGCTGGTGCTAAGTTTTTCAAGCCTAACTCTGCTAACAAACCCTTCAACCATATAATTTCTGCCGCGGTCCCTGCCATGCTTCTATATTCTGCTTCTGCAGAAGAACGCGCAACCGTGTTCTGCTTCTTAGACTTCCAAGAGATTAGAGACATTCCAAGATTAATACAGAAACCTGTTACAGACCTTCTAGTCATAGAACAGGCAGCCCAGTCAGAGTCACAGTAAGCAATTAACCTGCACTCACTCTTCGCACTTAGCAAAATCCCTTGTCCAGGATTTTTCTTGATGTATTTTACCACTCTTAGAGCAGCTTCAAGATGCGACCTTTTTGGTTTATGCATGAATTGACTGAGGAAATGTACAGCATAGACAATATCTGGCCTTGTGTGAGTCAGATATATTAATCTACCTATAAGTCTCTAAAAAACAAACTTATCCTGCAACAGTTCTTCATTGCTACAAACTGCTTCATCATACTCTGCTGAAGTAAACTTCTTATTTTGCTCAAGAGGAGTCAAAGCTGGTTTAGCTCCCCCTACTCCAATCTCTTCAATCAACTCTAAAGCATACTTTCTTTGATTCAGCATAATCCCTTCCCTTGATCTTAGAACCTCTAATCCTAGAAAGTACTTCAACTCTCCAAGATCTTTCATTTTGAAATTCTCATTCAAAATGTGTTTCAATTCTGCTATCAATCTCTCACTACTCCCAGTGATTAAAAGATCATCAACATATATCAACAAAACAACTATATCACTCCCTTGTTGCTTTGTAAACATTGAATAATCATACTTGCTCTGTATATAACCAGCTACAAGTAAAGCTTCTATTAGCTTCAAATTCCATTGCCTAGAGGCTTGTTTTAGTCCATAAAGTGATTTATGCAGCCTACAAACCTTAGACTCCCCTTGGCTGCAAAAACCATCAGGAAGTGCCATATAAACTTTCTCAACTAAGTCACCCTGTAAGAATGCATTATACACATCCATTTGATAAAGAGGCCAAGAAAAAATGGAGGCAATGGCAAGGACAGTTCGAACAGTGACTAGTTTAGCAACTGGAGAGAAGGTATCCACAAAGTCAACCCCTTCTCTTTGATTGAATCCTTTAGCAACAAGGCGAGCTTTGAACCATTCAATATCTCCATTAGCCTTGTACTTGATTCGGTATACCCATTTACAGCCTATTGGAACTTTCCCTGATGGCAGAGTAACTATTGACCAAGTGTTGTTTGACTCCAAAGCATCAATCTCTTCCTTCATGGCTTTAATCCACAGAGGGTTGGTGATGGCTTCAATATAGGTTTTTGGTTCACTTAGATGAGAAGTGGAAGATAAGAAACTTTGAGTTTTAGAAGGTAAGTGAGAATAAGAAATGAAATTGGAGATAGGATACTTACTTGGAAGAGATGAAGATTGGTAGGATTGAATATAGTCATGTAGCCAATTAGGGGGTTTGATAATCCTAGTGGACCTTCTCTGAGCCAGACCCTGAGTTTATGGTGAAGAAAGTTGACCAGAACATGGAATTGAAGATGGAGTAGGCAAACTAGTTGAGACTTGAGGTGATGCAGAAGAAGAAGAAGAGGAAGAAGGAGAAGACAAATTAGGTGAAACAGAATCAACTGGATGAGAATGTGCAGAAATTTCGAGAGTAAGAAAATCAGAATCATCAATAAAGGACTGAGTAGGAAAAAATGGAGAAGGCTTATTTAATGGAATTGAGAAAGGAAAAATATTCTCATGAAAGACTACATCACGATTAACAAAAAAAGACTTTGTATGAAGATCAAAAAGTAGATATCCCTTTTGAGTTGAGGAATAACCCATAAAAACAGAAGGTAAGGCTTTTGGAGAAAATTTGTCCTTAAAATTGACTTTAGTTGCATAACAAAGGCAACCAAAAACTCTCATATGAGAAAGATTAGGTGATTTTTTATAGAAAACTTCAAATGGGCTTTTCCAGTTTAGAACAGCAGTAGGAAGTCTGTTAATGATATAACAAGCTGTTAAGACACACTCACCCCAAAATTTGATAGGAACATGAGAATGGAATCTAAGAGCACGTGCTACCTCTAAAAGATGTTTATGTTTTCGTTCAGCAACACCATTTTGTTGGGGTGTATGAACACAAGAGCTTTGGTGAATGATACCAAGGGATGAAAAAAGCTCAGAACAGTTGTCACTAAAAAATTCACCACCATTATCACTACGAACATACTTAACTAAAGTAGAATGATGATTTCGAACAAGAGTAAAAAATTGTTTAAGGAAGAGAATTGCATCACTCTTAAGTCTCAACAGGTAAACCCAAGATAACCTAGTATGATCATCTACAATAGTCAAAAAAGACCTATGACCACTGTGTGTTGATATTCTATATGGACCCCACAAGTCAATATGAATTAAATCAAAAGGTGTAAGTGACCTAGAAGAACTAATTGGAAAGGGTAACCTAGACTGTTTTGCAAGAGGACAAACAGAACATTGCTTAACAGAATTTTCATTTAATGGGATAGAACACAAAAATGGAGTTTTATGCATTTTAACAGAAGTAGCATGCCCTAAACGTGCATGCCAAAGGATTGTATTATTGTCACAGGAAACAGACATACAACCAGAATCAACTTTACATTTGGATGATGACAAAACAGAAGTAACATTTGTAAAGGACAAACCAGAAACAAGGTCTTTAGAGTCGAACAAATAGAGACCACGAGCTTCCCTACCAATCCCCCTCATCTTCCCAGTGAAGAGATCCTGCAAAATACAAAAATGAGGGTAAAAACTGATACTGCAGTTGAGGTCTCTAGTGAGTTTCGACACTGACAGTAAGTTATGATGAAAATTAGGAACATACAACACGTTTGGAATAATATCAACTGAGTTAAAATGAAAGCTACCAGTATGGGTGATTGGAACAGTTTTACCAGTGGGCAGATGGACAGAACTAGGCTGACATGAAGTTAGATATTGCAAACAATGGATTTCAGACACCATATGGTCAGTGGCCCCTGTATCAAGTATCCAACGAAACGAATTAGAAGAGTCAGGTGAGCACAAGGAAGCAATACCTGCTAGGTTGACTGCTGCATCCACCGAGGGAGTTTTTGTTCAAGAGCTCTAGAATCTGATGATATTGAGCTGCTGTGAAAACTGGAGAAGTATTAACTATGCTGGAATCATGTGAATCATGATTGGAGTCAACCAGGGAGGGATTAGTAGCAAAAGCTGCCTGAGAATTCTTCTTCTTGGTAAATTTGAAGTCTGGAGGAAAACCAATCAAACGTTAGCAGTTGTCTCGCTTATGACCTTTGATTTTGCAGTAATCACAAACACCATTGAATCGCCTACGATCTGAATTTCCAGATGCATTGGAGTACATGGCAGTGGCACCCGAAACACCAGATAACTGAGCTCGTTGTGCCTCTTCTTGTACAATCATGGAATACGCTTGATTTACATTCGGTAGAGGTTGCATAAGCAGAACTTGGCTACGAATGGCTGAGTAAGTATCATTGAGGCCCATAAGAAATTGCAACAGCCTCTGTTGTGCGATGTGTTTGGAATTCTGCTGAGATACCTCGCAATTACAGGCTGAAAGAGGAACTAGGGCATGGTATTCGTCCCACAACAACTTCAATCTTGTCAAGTAGGTCGAAACTGTTGAGTCACCTTGATTTAGGGTAGCAATTTCACGATGCAAAAAAAAAATTCGAGATCCATCTACCTTATCGAAGCGCTCCTTCAAATCACTCCAAACGTGAGTAGCGCTTGAAGCGAACACAATTCCAGCCGAGAGATCACTGTTTACAGTGTTAAGAATCCAGGACAAAACAAACGCATTACAACGTTCCCATTGAGAGTGCAGGATCTCATCATAATCTTCTTTGCAGCAGGTGCCATCAACGAGACCTAACTTGTTTTTGGCCAGCAACGCGATTCTCATAGATCTGCTCCAGACGGTATAATTGTCGATGCCAACCAGACGATGCGAGACCAGAACACCGCCCGGCGTATCAGACGGATGCAAAAATAAAGGATGATTGAAGTCGAGCACGACGGTGGTAGCAGCAGCGTCAGGAGTGTCCATTTCTTCGAAGGAAATCGCCCAAAACCAGACCTAATTTAGACGAGAGAAAAAAAAAATAGAAGGAAGTCACGGGCAAAGAGTAGAGGAAAACGGCCCAAAAAAAATAACCTGGGCTAAACTGATACCATGTTAAAACTGAACATTTGGGCAATATATTATTTTATTCCTTATACTTTCAATTACAGCAAATAGGTCCTTATATACACAATAGCTTCCTATAACTAACTCAACAACAGAAATCTAACAAACTAACAGATTACATAACTGTATTGCAACAGTTAATACTTTCTACACTCTTCGAGGGCCATGCTCATTCCAAAAAGATGAAGAAATCAGATTTGTTAGATTGCAGAGTTAGTAAGGATAATATGCATTTTGGTTATTCTGGAGAATTGGTGTTTTTGTTCTTGGCTCGAGTCAGGGGTTAAAACTTAAATGTCGAACTCAGCTGCATTCCTAATCCATCGGCACTAAGTTTCTAAGGATAATATGCAGTTTGGTTATTCTGGAGAATTAGAGATTTTGTTCTTGGCTCGAGTCACGGTTTCTCCAGAAATGATTCAATCTTATTATCTTTATGTTATATCGTTTTTTATTTATTTTATTCATATTGTATAACTTAAGTGATAGATCACCATATCTATTATATATTAAATTCTTGTTAATTGTTCGAACAAAAAGCAAGGCGGAGTTTAAATTCTTGTGTTTTTAAAAATGGAAAAAGATGGATCAATAAACTATTGATTTGTTAGGCTAGTTCACAGATTTATCAACAAAACATCCCTATCGCATGTAAATTGAAGATTTAGGAGATTTTACATGGATGGTGGAATACAAATTACTCCTAATGGTGGGTGGAAAATTTAAGAGAAGAATTCAGGGTTGTCAAATGGGAAGCTTGGATCAAATTCCAACTTATCAAGTGACGAGATATCAAGGTCCCCGATCGGCGAATTGGAAACCGAAGTCGGGTCAGAGATAATATCCGTGAGATCAGATTCAAAGCTCCCCATGTGGCACGGTGACACCGAAAAATAGTTGGATTCAGATGTTGCCGGTGACACAAACGCCAGAGAAAGGCTCCCCATGATGTCGTTTTCTATCAGGGCCTCAACAAACGAGCAGCTTTTACTTGTTCCGATTCGACAGGGAATGAAAACGAAGGGAAAATGTCCT